CGTGTACCTTTTTTTCCATTTTATCTGAGCCGAGGGAAACGGTTGTGAGTGAAAGGTGTTCCTCCCGTGCCATTGTGAAGGCCCAAGCGAGGCAAGTTGCTATCAGAAGTGAATACTGATAGAAAATCTCGCCTCGTTATCGGAAGGGCCGCTGCTCTTTCCTTCCCCCCCCCCCCCCCTCCGCCTCCCCTTTCCTCCTCCTCCTCCTCTCCCTCCCCGCTCTGTCTCTTCCCTATTACTCCCCCCCTACTCCCTATCATTTGTCCCTTTTCTCGTTCTCCCTCCTCTCGTCCTCTCTCCCCTCAACCCCTTGGCTAGTCATCTTTGAAAGTTTCTCGTATCGCCAGCAACCTTGTTAGTCATGCTTGACACCTTTTACTGTTTAAGCTTTCTCTGCTATTCTTTCGAGTTCCACTCCCTGTCTTTCACAATAGACTATTTTAGCCAATTTTCTTCACCTTTCAGCATTTCTCTTCTCTCTTTCCCATTCATATTGATATTTTTTCCCCGGCTCCTCATTCTTACCTCTCCCCCTTCCTCTTCCTCTCCTCTCCCCTCCCTTCTTTCCTCCTCCTCCTCCTCCTCCTCCTCCTCCTCCTCCTCTCCTCCTCCTCCTCCTTCCCTCCTCACTCTCTTCCGTATTGTACATTCAAGGTACGCCATGACACGATATTACGCCTCATCTTCGTGGTGTCATTGGGTAATACCCTCTTGGATTGTTCCGACACTTGCGCTGATGAACTCTGGGATGCTCGGCCGCCCGTCTGTCAGTCTCTCATTGCCTTTTCCCCGTTCCTCTTGTCTCTCTCGTTGTAGCTGCTCGTCCGGTGTTCGTCTCGTCTCGGTTTTCGTAACACCCCTGAGACGCTTTTAAAAAAGTGTGTATCGGCTGCATGCCCTGTTGACACGCTTCTAAATGTGTTGAAATGGAGCGCCCCTCCTTCCTCTTTGCCCCTCTCCCCGCGCCCCGCTCGGAGACATTTTGCGGTCCATGCGGCTCTCGGGATCGCGAGCGGGATGCCAGACGCGCCTCCTCCTCAGCTGCGTGATCCCTCGCGGTTCACACCTTCGGATCCCCCGCGGGGCTGCCTCCGGCTTCTCCTTGGAGGGCGTCGATCAGAGGATGCCGGATGCCACCCGAGGGGGATTATTCCCCTCCCGGCACCATAACTCCTCGTGCCCCGCTCGGGTTCAGCCCCCGTGAGCCATTACCTCGAGTTTAGCGTCCCCGTTCTCCCATTACCGGAGTCCAGGGCGTATCTTACCCATTATCCTCATATTCGGCTCCCATTGGACCTCTCGCTCCGGGGAACATTACCTCAGGTTGAGAGACCTACAGCCGGCATTAGCTCGAGTTGGAGGATAACCTTGTGTCGGTGCATCGCGGATCCTCGCCGCGTTAACAATGCTACCTTTCACGGCCGTCACGCCCAAAAGGAGCTCTCCCTGCTCGGTATCCCCCGCCCTCGGCCACTTAGCCTGCCTCCCTTTCTCTCTCTCTCTTCTCTTTTCTCTATTTTTCTCTCTCTCTTTCTTTCTTTCCATATTTCTTTTTTTATATTTCTCTATCTATCTATCTCTGTTTTTCTCTTTTCTCCCTCTCTCTCTCTCCTTGTCAAAGGCGTGCAAGAGAGAGCGAGAACTCTGCTCCCTGTTCCTTGTGCTGCAGATGGAAGCCAAGTATCCTAGATGCTGCCCGCTATTGATCATGATTGTCCATCTTGATTGAGTTAACACCGCTAACCGCTGGCCAACGTCTTTTTCTGCTCCCTACAACATCCTGGTCTTTGCAGCTTCCTTTTTATTTTTGTTATTTTTCTATTTTTTTTTTACTTTTTTTCTGTCCTCTGCCCTCTCCTCCGCTCCCCGGCGTCGCCATTCATGCACCCAATTGACGACTTGAATAAGGGAATGGGGCGGGCGTCGTCTCGGTCGAGTGTGTGCTGGATGAGTCTCGCGTCTTGTGTTGATTTTCGATGTGTGCGATGTGGCAGCGGGCCGGGCCGTTTCATCCACTTCCCCACCCGGGCCACGTCCCCGCTCGCAACTTTTCTCCTTATATAACCTGACTTACGTTTCCACATTTTACCTGCGCACAAATGATATATCTGTATGTGTGTGTGTACGGGTATGTGTGCCTGTGTGGATGTATAGGTAGATATAGATATACGCGCGCGCACACATACTTAGTTACTTATATATTGATTTCGGTACGATTCTGAGCATGGTTTTGTAGTTAAAAAAAAAAAAAAATAAAAAAATCTCACGTTACGACATCGGGTCTGTACATGGTCCTGACGTCTTGCAGTTTGTAGAATTATGAAGGCAGGTTTATTTTACTTTTATTTTCCCACGGAATCGTACATTATGACGGGTCTTATTAGTACGACAACCCGACAAAATTTTTGTTGAAAAGGTGGATTAATTTAAATGTTTTCCGCCGTTTCTGTGCTTTGTGTTTTTACCTGTCTGCCGTTTCAAGCGCGGTTGCTGCTCTGTCTTCCTCTCTTCCTCGTGTCCAGTGATCTCCGGCATAAGGAGCTTTAGCGTTTGCCCCTTACATAATGCGCCGTGCCCTTTATTCTTTCCTGGCCGCTGACGACCCCTTGCCCTCCCCCCCCCCCCCCTCTTCTCTCTCTCTCCCTCAACCTCTGCTTGGCCGCTTTCACGTCGTGCTGGCTGCGCTGCGATGTCTCCTGGCCACTCCATGTCCTGTGTGACCCTGGCCCGTACGTTTAACCTGGGCCGTGCACGTATGCTCTCGGTTTCTTTCTCGTGGACTGGTATTTTCTGTTCATTCTGCCGTTCTGTCTGTTTTCTTCTCTCTTTTCCCCTTCCTCTTTCCCCTTTTCCTTCCTCTGTCCATTTTCCTCTTTCATTCTGTCGGTTTCTCTCCTTCTCTTCTCTTTCCCTCCCTTTCTTTCTCCCCCTTCCTTCCTCTATCCATTTCCCTCTTTCGTCTGTGTGTTTGCTCTTGTGTAGTCTGCTCCGGCATCTTTCTCGATGTGTTTGGTGTTACACATTCAGCACACATCGTATATTATCATAAATTGCATTGACCTTTCTCGGAGTTTATCATTGTATTTTAGTGTTATCATAATTCAATATTTTGCAATTAGTAGTTTATATTGTTAAATAGATTTCAGTTACATTCGAGCTCAAATTTTCGCTTCCGTCATTTATTATTTACAGTTCGTTGTGCATAGAATCGCGAGCGAGTTTATTTATGGCGCCTTCCTGGCGAATACATTATCCTAATTCATCTTCACTCTCGTAATCAGATATTTTGGCCGGAAAAAACTAGGTTATGATCCCGGGGTGAAAAAATAGTGGCTTTGGATTCCGACGCAAGTGCTTCTGGGACCGCGCTGCCGCTAATCGAGTAATGGCCGGGAGGGGGCGCAGCGCTGTTATCTGGCGAAAGATGGATGGCCGCGCTACCGGGTTCTCGTGCGCTAATGCTAATTAGAAGGTGGTTCGCGATTGGTCGCGGGCAAGCGGAAGACGATGGCCAGAAACTGGTTCCCTTTGGCGGGGGGAGGGAAAGGGGAGGGGGTGTGTTGCCGCCCCCTTTCTCTCCTTTGCCTGCTACCCACCTTGCGCCCCCCCCCCCTCGGCCGCTTTCTCTGCCATGATCTAACGCCTGGATCCGGTCGTACCCGCGGCGTGCGAGGAAAACCGGGGAACGTAATGAGCGGTGTATCGTGCAAACGAGGCGGTAAGAACAGGTGCCACGAGCGTGTGTTTAAATACCCCCCCCCCTCCTGCCTGCGAGCCCCACCTCCGCCACGCTGCACCACCCTCCGTCCTTCCCCCGCCTTCCCCTGGCGAGAAAAGAAAGGGTTTAGGTAAACTCGGTTTAATGTCCCCCGTTAATGGCGTTTATTTAGAGTCCGGGGTGTTGCGAGCAGCTCTGGTGTCCGCGGATCCGCGGCAGAGCTTCCCCGGCGTCCTTTGGCGGCCGAGCGTCCAGGAATGCGATTTGTGGCATAATTTACCATGTATATCCATGTAGATGAGCGCTTTTAACAGAACCAAACCGGTGTGGAACTTTCACCCGCGCGCGCTCGTTCCCTGCACCTTGCTTGTGTGCCTCCCTGCCTCCCTCCCTCCCTCCCTCCCCTGCATCCGTGGCCGCTTGACCTCCCTCCCGTGTGGCCGCGCCCTCCTTCCTCCTCCTGATGCCGGGCGCCTCCCCTCCTCCTTCCTTCGTGCTCTCTCCCCGCCTTCTCTAGGGAGAGGAGGAGGGATGGAGGAAAGCAAGAACTAGATCAGCCTCCTCATCCCCATCCTCCACCTCTTCTCTCCCTCTCCCACTATCCCCGCACCATCCTCGCAAAGTGCCGCGTTTACTTGCTCTCTGGAACCATTTATTTTGATTCTGCCGCAGATTTCTGATCCGCTGTAATGTCTTCTCTTGTTTTGGCTCTTTTTGTATTTTTTGTATTTTTTGTATTTTTGTATTGTTTTGCCTTGGCTGGGAAATTGCATTTTAGTCACTGGAGATTTCCCCCCGGTTTGTATGGTGTTGAAAAAGAGTGCGTGGCTGAGATAGTGTGTACGTACGTGCAGTTGAGTGTTTCAAAAGTGATGCAGAGTGGAAGGAATGTGAGGGGAGGGTCCAAGTGTGAAGTTTAAGTACCAGGGCGGCGCGGCAGAGGGAGGGAATGGCGGAGGGGAAGGTGAGTTGGTGCGGTGGGTGTCAGAACGTGAGCGGCGGATGAGCGGTCTCGCGGGAGGAGGGTTGGCGTGGACGTGAGCAGCCTGGACAACACAGCTCACTGGTGTTTCCCAGCTCTCCCTCCCTCCCTCCCTCCCTCCCTCCCTCCCTCCCTCCCTCCATCCCTCCATCAGTGATTCCCACTGCCCTCCAACACTGGCCTTCCTCTTCCAGCCTGGTTTTATTTTGGACAACAAATAACTCGGCCTTGACATAATTTTTTTCGGTGAATATCCCAGGACTGTGTGATTAATGATGTTTGTTTCCTCCCTTTCAAAAGGCAGTTGTTTTTGCTAGTTGTCCTGGTTTGAAAAGCGGGACACGTGTCACTGACTCTTTAGCATGTGTCAGTTAAGCTAGAGATCGGAAAGTGAACTCGAGATGTTGCAGTGTAGATTGTCAGTGATGCAAAGGCGAAGTGTGAAATAGAAAGTGATCGTGTTAGTGAAACATTGCTCGTGTTAAAACATGGTGACACAGGCAGCGAGCAAGTGCATTAATAAAGTATAGAGAGACTCGCACCTTGCCTCGAACCACCATGAAGCTGAAGGAAAAAAGGTACAGCTTCCACTTGGACATTACAAAGTCTCTCATAGATTATGATGGAGCTAAGCTGAAAAAGGTAAATATTACTACGAACTTTTATCGCCGTTCTTTTTTATATTAATTGTTTTAACGCTGTGCGTTTGAATATATGTCTAAGTTGCATTTCCTGTCCCTTGCAGCAACTGTTCCGGAGCGCTCAGCAACAGCAGGGAGGGCCCAACCACCAGCCGATACAGTTGCTCGCTCAGCAGCAGTATTTGGCTGCACAGGCTGCTCAACAGCAGGGTAAGTACTCGCACATTTATATTGGTCGCATCTCCTTACCCTTGTTTGCGTCATCGCTCGAGGACGAAAGTAAATGCTTGTAGTAAAACATCGTCGCGTCGGGGAAACTATGAATGGTTTCACAGAGGAGTTTTCATTCAGTGCCTCGGTTTCAAATATTTACCAGGAGGTTGTCCTGTTGAATATTTAACCCCGTCTCCAACTTGAGGTAATTGATGGATTCCATTCTGATGCAGGCGATTAAACAGCAATGCGTGAAGCGGCCTTCATGTGTACATCGCTGGGCGTGTATATATGGCTATAGGAAGTGCGTGTGATAGGAGGGCGGTGGGTCCCACTTCCTGCCTGTGTTGCGATGCGCCTGTCCATCGGTGCTCAGCCAAGCGCTCCCGCCGTGTCATCGCCGCTCACCTGGCCCGGCCCGGCCCGCCCTGCGAGGACTTCCTATACTGACCTGTCACTCTCGAGCCGTTGGGCCCTAGCCCTCCTCTCCTTTCATCACGAATTCCTCTTGCAGACTGTGAATGATAGGGAGTCATTGTTGCGGAGGAGGGAGAGAAAACGGTAGTCTGTTGCCGTTTCACGCAGCTTAATGCACCGCATTAACGTAATGGGCGACAGGAGTGACAGTGGGAGGGGGGCCACGCGGCTAGCACAGGCAGGGAGGGGGAAGTAAACTCAATTGGGTTGACGGTAACCGGAAAAATTACACCATAAAGTACTTAACGTCGTGATACGTGTGACCGCATGCATTTGCCGTTAAGCTGTACACCGTTTTCCCCCCCCCCCCCCCCCCCTCTCCTCTCCCTTTTACACCCCACAGCTTTCGGTTTGGAATGCAAATACGTGATAATGGAGGCAGGCATGATCGGGTCGCAATTGTGTAGGTAGAGGACAGTCCCCGGGAATATTTTATCTGGCTGCCTGGCCGGTCGTCGATAGATTGGCCGGATAATCTTGTAATTTCTCTGGGTCTGCCATTTATGCGGGATCACGAGGGAATAACATGCCACACTCTTGTATTAAACAATTAGCTAAAACTCCGGGAGTATGACAGCTGGGTTAGGTGAGTGGATGTTGTGGAGGCCGAGGGAGCGGAGGGCCACGCACAGGGCCGAGCGGGAAGGGAGCAGCTTGGGTCGAGGCTGGGATGGTGAGCGCCATGACGACGGGTCCTGGCGATGCCGCTGCACGTGACGCAACACTCGCACAAAGCCGCGACTATGTGCTGGATCCACCTTATTGCACGAAGCGCCCTCAGTCGCTCCCGGGTTGCCGGTACTACCACGTCAACCTGACAACTGGGTAGCCACTCTCTCTCCTCTCTCTTCTCTCTCTCTCTCTCTCTCTCTCTCTCTTCTCTCTCTCTTCTCTCTCTCTCTCTCTCTCTCTCTCTCTCTCTCTCTTCTCTCTCTTCTCTCTCTCTCTCTCTCTCTCTCTCTCTCTTCCCTCTCTCTCTCTCTCTCTTTCTCTCTCTCTCTCTCTCTCTCTTCTCTCTCTCTCTCTCTCTCTCTCTCTCTCTCTCTCTCTCTCTCTCTCTCTCTCTCTCTCTCTTCTCTCTCTCTCTCTCTCTCTCTCTCTCTCTCTCTCTCTCTCTCTCTCTCTCTCTCTCTCTCTCTCTCTCTCTCTCTCTCTCTCTCTCTCTCTCTTCTCTCTCTCTCTCTCTCTCTCTCTCTCTCTCTCTCTCTCTCTCTCTCTCTCTCTCTTCTCTCTCTCTCTCTCTCTCTCTCTCTCTCTCTCTCTCTCTCTTCTCTCTCTCTCTCTCTCTCTCTCTCTCTCTCTCTCTCTCTCTCTCTCTCTCTCTCTCTCTCTCTCTCTCTCTCTCGTCTTCTGTGTGTGTGTGTGTGTGTGTGTGTGTGTGTGTGATTTTTTTTGTGTGAGAGATTCCCGAAAGGCTAAGAAATATTTCATTAACCCAGCTTGGCTAAAAGGATGATAGTCTTTTCGACCAAATGATAAAGACCGTTTATTAGATTGATGACTTTGATGTCTTTTGCACAAAGGATAATAGCTGTTCTGAGGAGTTCGCAATGAAGTTAGTAATAGTTTATGGGAAGGCAATTTATTGCAGAGCTACTATTTTCTTGTTTATATATTCTACCAGAGCGAGTGTTATCAGAATGTAACACAAGTTTAGATGCGTGATTGATATTGTTTGTTTATTAATACTTATACTGTTTTCATAATAATTTATCTATATCAGTGGAATGCAGTTAATATGCCATAAGGCACTGGGATGTCTTGGCTGATTCACTGCTTGTTTGACCTTTCATTATGAGGAGTGGCCAGTTGTTTTGTCCTAAACATGCACTTCGCATGGAGAGCAGTTCAGTTCAGTGCAACCTGTTAAGCAACATTTTGCTTGAACCTTCAACCTTCTTAGGTTACCAATCAATCCATCAGTGTCGCCAAGACATTATAATCTAAAAGTATCAGTAACATCTGATATTGATAGTCTTCCATTCAGTGAAATATGAATTTTGAACCATTCTAACAAGTGCTGAAATAGGGAATACAATAACCTTTATGCTGTAATAAATTAAAGTGTTATTCATTGTTTTACAAATTGGTCAATCAACTGCCTTTCATGACCAAAGTTGGCTGAATGTTTACTACAAATACAATATCAAAGGAACAAATGTTTATTGGTTTAGTAGTTTGTTCTTCCAACATAATATTAAGTATAGCATGATTTTACCTAATAGCAGGTTATGTAAGTTTAAGAATATTCGTATGGATTGATGTTAAAAAAGAATGACCAGACTGAGTTTAATCCAGTCCCATCTTTAATTGATGTCAGAGATCAGATTAGGAACAAAGCCACACACAAGTTTATGAATACAATCCCTTCCAAAATTTAAGCTAATTCTTATTCATGTTGATATTTACTTTTTTGAAGCTGGTGTTTCATAAATTCTCAAAAGTGCTTGGCTTCGCAAAATGCTTAGATTATCCTGTGAAATTCGATTCTTACGTACCTAGCAAGCTAGCACATCCTGCAACAATTTTAATGAATGAGTAGGACAGTTGTCAACATCCTCCTCAGCCCTCTGGTAAGGTGGTGTTTACACACTTGGTCTGCGTTCATTCAGTCACCTGTTATACAAATGACGCGGCCTCATATATTCTCTCTTTTTGTTCTGACATTCTTTGAGGGTTAAAACCCCCTACCACCGTGGTTTACTGCAGAGGTTGTCATACATGCAATACTACATTTCTTGGACATTGTGTGTGTGATGTAAACAAATACTTGTATTGCTGTTGAGCATGCGTGTCTTGCTGGAAATGTGTTTCCTTTTTTTTCTTTTCCCATACCATCACACTGGTTTTGAGAGATTTATTGCATAAAATCCAGGGAGCCATCTGCTGACACAGGGTTATTTTACACTGCCTCGTATGTTCCATTAGGCTAATTACCTCTGACTCATAAGAAAAAAAGAAACCTACGACTCGAGCAAACGTTAACCAGGATAGTTGTGAGAGAATCTTGAAACTGGTTTTCTGTTGAAGGTGCCAGAGGTTAGTCCTCTTTTTCTGTTGTGGTTTTTCTTCTTCTTCTTCTTCACCAGGTAGATGAAGGATTCGTAAAATGAAATGTTGTATCTGTGATAGATGAGAGATTATTGCAGATTCGTTTTACTTTCTTCAAATCTCTCTCCCTCTCTTCGCTCTGCTCCCTCCTCCCGCCCGCCCTCCATTCTTCTACACACTGTGTCGAATCCGTCATTCATCTCCCTCGCCTCACTCATATTCCCACTCAACTTTCACGGGTTCAACCTCACTCACTCTCACTGGCTACTCTAACTCTCCACTCTCACTCTGCACTCTCACCTCTACTCTCTCACTCTCTCTCTCTCGTCTCGTCTCCCTACAAAACTCTCTCTCTCCTCTTCCATCTCTTTATATATCTCTCTATCCACTCTCTCTCCACTCACTCACTTCACTACATACACTTAACCACTGCTTAAATACACTCCATCATCCAAACAATAATCACTACAAAATCTCTTCTGCACTCACGCACGAGCATTATCTCGAAATCAACAATATTCCCGATTAATTTTCAAACTCAACGCAAACCCCCGATAAAAAAACAAATAACACCGACAATTAAAGCACCAAATTCCCTCCCCTACTCACTCACCCAATAATTTCTACCATACGTCATCCCCTAATCACATATCACCATTACAAACATTCACCCTCAACTATTGTTACCTGGTCTCTCTCTCCCCACTTCCATTCTCATACACCAACCCTTTCTCTTCTCCCTCTCACTATCTCATCTTACCTCTTAACTCACCACTCGCACACTCGGTTCTCTCTCCCTGCTCATTCTCTCACACACCAACACTCCAATCTCTCTCTTCTTCTCTTCTCTACTCTCTCCATCCTCTTATCTTAAGTTTAACTCCAACTCTCGTCTAATCCCTTCTTCTACTTGTTACCTTTCTTCTAATTATTCCATACTCCTCTTCCATCAACTTTCATCTTCATGGGTCTGGTTCTCTTCTAACACTCCTTCTGGGTCTTGTTCTTTTCCTCACTTTTTCAATTTCTCTCACAGTGAATCTCCTCAAACATTCAATTACTTACAGCAGTCATTACCCTGCTCTTCATTTTTATAACATACATATTTACCGACCCACCCCCTCGTCGATGCTACCCCTACAAATCTCCTGCTAATTCTCACTTGACTTCTATCTCTCCCTCACTTCTAAAAATAACAACTACTTCATTACCTACTTACAGTCTCCCCCCATATAAACTCTCTCTACGCTCAACATCGCCCTTCCATCCAACGGTCCTTCACCTACATATCCACATCCCTTTCAAATTTAGTCAATATTCTAGGTAAGATTACACATATTATCATTCTTCAACCCTCTTCCCCACATTCATTCTCCATCATACTCCATTATACTCTACATATCGGTCCTCGCATGCTCTCTACAATTCAAAGCCTTAACTCTCAGACAGCATCTATTAACTCCTCTTTT